GATATCATTCAAGAAGGTATTTTTCCTTGTCTCGCTTCTGAAGATCATCGCGTTAAATTGCAGTCAGGTCTTGATCGTTGTGACGTTTCTATGTCGCGTATCCATTCTATTCTAGCGCGTGCCTCAGGCATCAGCGCATTCTTGGTTCGCTATCTACGCACCATCGAAACGGCACAACTCATGATCATGGCAGCATTACCTGAAGGCGAGCTTGAAGCGCACTCATTTTTAAGCGATGTTCGCCAAGCTCCTCCAGGTGATATTCCGCAAGATATCGCTGTATTTACCCAAAACCTTCAATGGTGGAGGGACAATTACATGCACGCTCTTGATCATAGCCAGACGAAGCGTTTTGTTGACCAGGCAGTGCAACAGGTTGCTCAGTACGAACGTAGCCAACAACAGTCTACATCTTCGTCACAGCAATCTGCTGGTTCTTCTCAACAAACCGCTTCTACGGCAAAGTTTAAGTCTGGAGGTTTCCAGACTCAGCAGCAGTCACCGCAGCGTACTTTCCCTAGTAAAGGCTCTTCTCACAGCACTCCAATTTCCGGTGGCCGCACTTCCGCGCCTTCTCGGGAGGATGGACGTGGGTCCATTGTGTCCCCCGGGTCGAGGAAACGCAGTCACGATAGGTCCGGTGGAAGAGCTGTGGAAGAGCGTGACGCTAGGAGAAGCCGCTACGATGAGCAGATCGCCGCTAGTGAGGAAAGGCGTAGAAGGCAGGAAAGACCTATTCCTTCACCGCCACCTCAAGATAGGCCTAGCAGTATTCAACCGCCTTGTGTATTTTGCGCTCACACTGATCATTATTCTGCTGAATGTCACTATTACAAGCGCCTCTCTGAAAGAGCAAATATGCTCCGAGAGTTGGTCCTTTGTAGTAACTGTCTTAAGCAGCATTATGGTGAGTGTTCTCGTTTAGAAAGGTGTCTAATTTGCGCACAGAGAGGTCATCACCAAGCTATCTGTGTTCTAAATAGACACGCCATTGTCGATATCACTATTCCAGCTGTCCGCTTCTACGAAGACGTTGGTAGAGACACGTACGTTCCCGGTCCAAGGGAAGCACGTGAACGCCAACGCCTTCTCAGTTCTTCCAGTAGGGAAGCAGCACCGCAACCGCGCCCACCTAGTCGAAGCCTTTCGAGAGGTGGACGTGGAAGTCGTCGCAGTCGTCCTTATTAAAGGACGTCTCAGGTAAGTTTCCGCTTTGTATGACAGGTTACCGTTGAGTTAAGAGTTATTCAGGTAGTTTACCGCAAGGTAAGTTTAGTAGATCTCGTATTTCTCTTGTTACCGCTCGTCATGGGTTACCGCCGGTTCCAAGGATCCCCAATGACACCAAGGACCTTACGACGACCGAATATAACACAGGTAAGTTTAACAATAATGTTAGTTTTACAGGCAAGCACAGGCAACGATGATGGGCAAGGACTGTCGACAGAGATGGGCAAGGACCGACGACCAAAATGGGCAGTGACAGTCAACGATTATGGGCACGTGGCGATTCAACGTCATCACGGTGGTCTACGTCGGTGGCTGTCTGGTGGATGGTCGTGGTCGATGGTGTGGTTCGATAGTTGGTGGTCGACAGTTGGTGGTTGATGGTTCGTGCTGGTGGTTGTCTGTGGTTGATTGGTGCTGGTCGTGTTGGTGCGTCGTGTGGTCTTGGTTCAAGGAGGCATGGATGCCGGCTGTTATCTACTCGTCACTTATTCCTCATGGTATTCGTCACGTTATTCGTCACATATTCCCTATGTATCCCGCATACTATTCCTCATATTATTCGTCACTTAATCCCTACTCGTCGAAGTTCACTTATTCCCTTCCTTTCGGGTACCCTTAAGGTACTCTGTATATTATTTTCTCGAGTGTCCTTAAGACGCTCATGTACATAGCTCATTTATTTGTCTCATGCATATCGCTCATTTATTTGTCTCTCGAAGTGCCCTTAAGGTGCTTCACGTAGTAGTAGTAGTTTTGACATGTATGTACGTGTATAGTTCTGTACATAAGTAGTTTACTCTCGTCATTCCCCTTATCGCTGTATGTATATATATATGTAGTCGTTTGCCGCTGTATAGTGTTTGTTGTTTTTTGAGGCGTCCTT